CATTTTGGGGTCAGTAAGGAATTTTTCCCTAGTTTGTTGAAAAATTGGAAGCACTTCAGACTGGGTTTTTGCCTTCTTTTGCATCAACAGCAAAAACATATGAGAGGAAGGCTAAACTTGATGCTCATTTCAGTTATGTAACTATTCATGGAATACTGTGCAAGAACAAAGTGACACAATATGTGAAGAAAGGATACAATGTATAGAATAAGGGATTAACGTACCAGGGAGTTTTGCAGGCAGAGTTAGGGCCGTATAGGCCTAGTGAGACTTAAGTGTTGTAATGAAATTTTGTAAGATATAATGGTGTGTGTGTGGGTGTGTTTATATGTGTATATATATATATATATAAATATATATATATATATATATAATGGGGCTGAATTTATCATATTGGGCAGCACAGAGGGCCATATGATTGGAATATAATAAAGGCCTAGAATGGCCGCATTGGACCTTAAACAAGACCAGCATAAGATTATTTACTCATAACTTTTGCTAAATGTGAGCAGTTTTAATATGAGACCTATGAAGGAGATAATGAACTTGCCTAAATAAATAGAGGTGAACCGAAGTGCTTAATGTGAGGTAAAGATAATATGAGGGATTTTAGTTACCATATGAGATTGGCCAAATGAGGGTTTTAATGATAAGTATGTTGTTAATAACATGCAGTATACAACCCCTGCAAGAAAGATGAAATTTAGGTGCCAAATTAGGACATGGCAGGATGCCCACTGCGGAGCATATGAACGCACATTGTAAAGGCCTAGTGAGGGCCATGAGTAGGAAATAGTCTTATAATACCTATAATAAGAGGTCCCAATTTGGGTCCTGAGTTACATGGTGGCTGTGCGGGCTGTGTTACGATTAATGCGGGTGAAGATAGGATGTGAATCAGAATTGTTGTGGAGAAGATGTATGTAACTAAGACATGTTGGTGATGAGATGGTAGAGAACCTGATAGTTACTTATCATCAAGTTTATGAAATGGTGAACAGAATGGAGACCATATGTAAACAATTATAAAAACATCATATAATGCATACCATCTGAGCCAAATAAAAACGGGGTGTTGGCAGACAGAATCAAAACAGGAAGTGGCTGAACACAGTGGCTGAACAGGCTAGTGGCCGTGACGACCGTAAACAATACATAGGAAGAGACAGGAGATATAAGACATACATTAAAAAGATCTACATGTGGAATGCTTAGGAGGATGATAAACACTTATGCTTACACAACTGGCCATTCCACAATAGGGTTAAAAGCAACGGCAAATGCTAAAACAATTGTAGAATATCTCAGTAACATTAACATCAGCTATAACTTCATTGCTCAGACTGAACATGAATGAATGAGGTTTACCTAATGCATGTAGACTGTATAAATAAGACAGTGAAAGTAGTCACAATACCTGAGCCGGCCTAATGTGGCCAAACAGGATTGACACATGTTAGTGCAACTTATAAAACGTGCAGCGAAGTGGCTGGCCAAAATGTTAACCGTGTCTAAAAAGCGGATGAAGTTGTACTGTATATGGAAAACCTGCACGGTCGAATGCAGACCGAATGTGTGGAAGACTGAAGTGCTTGAGCGGTCAAATGAGGCCATAGCAGACAATAAATCATAAAATGGAGTAATCTAATGAAAAGCCCATACCGATTGGTAGAAGCCCTACTGGGCAAGTTAAGGTTAGAAGGGGAGGACATACAATAGGTTTTGCAAGCTAATTTAGATATTATACCCCACTGAAAATGACATACATAAATTCATGCACGTTGTCTTTCAGGGCACATCCACTAAACAGGGATTTCAACTTATTTTGTATTAGGGCAGTGGCGTGTCCCTTTAAATGCATACAGTATTAATATAGATTATATAGAACTGTTATTATTGTCAAATAAGCCAAAGTCAAAGTACACAAGAGACAATACCATAAATGCTAGTAGATGTGGGTGCACTTAATATGAAAGAGGTAAATTATGGTTTAACAGACATATAGGCATATGTTTTGATTTGCGATCAGAATGTGTACAATTGCTCTGTCCTTAACCCTTAAGGACTGAGTCAAATGTACACTTTGTGTTCAAAACAAAACGTAAACAAAAACTTGAATTTGCGCTATATGTCTGTTCAGGCGTAAGTCGCCTCTTTCATATTATGTGTACCCACACTTATTATATATGATTTTATTCAGGGGAAACAGGGCTTTCATTTAACATCAAATATTTAGGGATGAAACATAATTTAATATGAATAAAATATTTAAAAAAAAATTTAGTTCTATGTTGACATTTTAACTGTGAATGTCATAATACTGTTTGCTTTTACTGCAATAAAACACATATTTGTATTCTGCAATGTCTCACATGTAAAACAGCGCCCCTTATGTACAGGTTTTATGGTGTTTTGGGAAGTTACAGGGTCAAATATAGCATGTTACATTTTTCAGTTTTTTCACATTGAAATTCACCAGATTGGTTATGTTGCCTTTGAGACCGTGTGGTAGCCCAGGAATGAGAATTACCCCCATGATGGCATGCCATTTGCAAAGAAGACAACCCAAGGTATTGCAAATGGGGTATGTCCAGTCTTTTTTAGTAGCCACTTGGTCACAGACACTGGCCAAAGTTAGTGTTAATATTTGTTTGTGAGTGAAAAATGCAAAAAACTAATTTGAACGCCAATTATGGCCAGTGTTTGTGACTAAGTGGCTACTAAAAAAGACTGGACATTTGCAATACCTTTTCATTCCTGGGCTACCATACGGTCTCAAAGGCAACATAACCAACCTCGCGATCACATGGGTGGGGGGGGTGGGGGCGGAAAAGTAGGAGGGGAACTCCCTGGGATGTCAGGTGAGTCCCTACACCGCGATCGCCGGTGTGGGATCGCCGGCAACCGGGTAAGTACATAGGACAGCTTGGGCGTTCTATGCCGCCCGCCGGCTTTTTAGAGCCGGGTCCCCAAGGACGGCATAGAACGCCCACCGTCTATAAGGGGTTAAGGGCCTGAGTGTAAACACTCCGAAATAGCAGAATAAGTAAAAACCCAGAGACCATCTTCATGGCATAACATTTCACATGCATACTAGATTCCCAATGCTTTGCCTTTGGAAACCATTGGATTTGCTAAGATTTAGAAGTTTTATGAATATATCTATGGTTTTAATTATTTTTTTAAAGTTATAAATTATTATTTTCTGTATTATTGTATAGCGCACCCTTTTTTCTGTATTATTATAAATTATTATTGTCTCTTTTTTATCTTGAGGTTTTCAGTATTGTATCCTCTGAAGAAGTCCTGTGTATGTATGAATTTTGGGTGCAGTATACGCCATATATTTTTCTGTCGTATAAAACAAATATTGCATGGAGTAAATTACAGTTTTAATGCAAAACATTGTGGCAAGCTGAGATAGCAACTTTAATGTAACGGTTTTGGATTTTGTGGCTACTGTATAAATATATAATTATTGAAAGTACACAATCCCAGGCTATGTACCTAAGAACATTTTGACACTTTATATATGGCATAGCGGACCCTCAGGTACCGGTACCCAGTGATAAGTAGAGCTCCTTGGTACTAGTGGCATGACGGCTGTCAACATGCGTTAAAGCCCTTTAACCCCTTAAGGACCAAACTTCTGGAATAAAAGGGAATCATGACATGTCACACATGTCATGTGTCCTTAAGGGGTTAATAGCATAGACTGTTTTGTGTTTCTTAAGTGATTAATAGGTTCCTTATTATTCATAAAGAGTCAACGTGTTCAACAACACTGTACAATAAAGTGGAACAAACAAGTTGTCATGATCTTGAGCAGGTCAGATAGGAGACTTTGGCCAGGGTTGTTATTTGAGACTTTATTGGTGCTTTTAGACATATTATGAAACTTGAGAAAAAACTGAATAAAGGCAATATGCCACAAAACCAGATACTTGCAAATAATAAAGAAAGTCTGTAAACTCCAGGTAGGGTTGAAACAAAGGCAGGTTGGTATTAAAGGCAGGCTGGTAACAGAGGCAGGGGTCAAAATCATATGTAAGAGTGGAGCAGGTTGGTATGGAGCAGGGTTGAAGGTAAGTCTGGAGGAGGGTTGAGGGTAAGTCTGGTGCAGGTTCACAGGAGCCAGGAACTGAAGGCTTTCAGGCAAATCACCAACTTCAATGTAAAGGCCTTGAGATTAGTTAGGTGTAGCCTTTTGTAGCTGAAGCAAGTAATTAAACAGGAGCAGGTGAGATTCCAGAACCAGAGGCAAGGTAAATAATAAAATCAGAGCAGGAACTTGTTTTAAAGGAACAGAAATAAAAAGAACACACGTCTTGTTTGTCAGGATACGATCCTGACACAAGTAGTTGGACATACAGAATCAGAATATCCTGAGGGCTGTACTCAAATTAGTTTATATTCTTAGGGGAGTAGGGCAAATGACACAAGAGGTAATAACTAGACTTGTGCCCAAATTATTTTCAGCTGGTATCGAAAAATAATCAAATTCCTTTTAATCTGCACCCAAACATGCAGGAGGGAAGGGGGCTTGCAAAAATTGGTGACATGCCCTTTAGCTGGCTTGAAGCCAAATGATCTTATGTCTCTTGTCCAGGAGTAGCCTAGTCTGATTGACGCTATTTAGTTGCATTTATTGTGAACACTAAATGCAAATGCATAAGAGCCGAACTCCAGATTATTTGCAGTATGTTTTGTTTTATTGTGTTTTACAAATTCAGGATAAAAACTATCATTATTATTAGAATACCAACATATTCTGCAGCACATTACAGTTAAAGAAGGGGAATATATGACAAGTAAATGACATACAAAAATTAACAGGTACAAGAAGTGAAGAATATCAACATGTTTACCATCTAAGACTCACAAAAGAAATAACAGCAAGTCAGAGGAGAGGAGGGACTGGTGGATAAGATGCTTGTATCAAAATAGGCTAGTAACAGTGGTTTGTGGAACAAGTGAACAGTGGAAACTAGGAACTGAGGCAGCAGAATCCATTATAACCTGAAGTTGTCGATATGGAATGAGTGCAATAGTCAAGTTTGGAAATTATGAGTACATGAATATTAGTGTATTAGTTGTATCTTGAGTTAGAAAATGTCACATGGCCCGGAGCGGCGGAAAAGAAGGAGGGGGACTTCCTGGGCTGTCAGGCAACCGAGTAAGTACATAGGACGGCTTGGGCGTTCTATGCCGCCTGCCTGCGTTTAGAGCTGGGTCCCCAAGGACGGCATAGAACGCCCACCGTCCTTAAAGGCTTAAGGGCCTGAGTGAAAACACACAGAAATAGCAGAAAAAGTAAAACCAAGAGACCATCTTCTTGGCATAGCATTTCACATGCATACTAGATTCCCAATGCTTTGCTTTTGGAAACCATTGGATTTGCTAAGATTTAGAAGTCAGAGTCAGGGGCGTACCTAGAGCATTTGACACCCGGGGCAGATCCTGTGCTTGGACACAGTCACAGACAGTCACACACACAGTTACAGGCAACATCAAACAGTCACAGGCAGACCATCACACACACCTAGTCACAGACAGTAACACACAGTTATAGGCAGACAGTTACACAATCGGTTACAGGTAGTCACACACAGTCAGTTACAGGTAGTCACACACAGTCACAGGCAGTCACACACATACAGTTACAGGCATGCAGTCATACACACACAGTTACAGGCATGCAGTTACACACACAAATACACACAGTTACAGGCAGACAACTACATATACACACACAGTTACTGGCAGACAGTTTTACACACACAGTCACACATACATACACACACACATTCTTACTTACAGACAGGAGCTTGAGGAGGAATGAATTTCCTGAAGTCCTTCCCCGGAGCCTGTTAGGTGGAGTAGCAGGGATTCCTTCTTGCTGCACCTCCATGTGCAGCAGTAACAGCAGCGGGTAAGGGCTGTATTAAGCCCCGCCCCCACTTTTGCTTAGCTCTGCCCCCACTTCCCTTCTGTGCGGCTAGTTCAGCTGTGCGGCTGTACAGCTCACACAGCTGTACGGATGGCACCTGGGGTGGCCCGCCTCCCCCCCCACCCCACTTAGTACGCTACTGGTCAGAGTCGATGTGAGGAAAAAAAGTAAGGCCTGAGTCAAAAGTACAAAATATATATATATATAAATATATATATAGTGCAGCGCTTACTATAGTGATCTTGGTGAATATGTAGATATTTCACTTTATACCTTAGTATAATATAAGGATCTTTCAAATGTCCCAATAAGGAGAGTGTGATTGGTGCTCTCCACCATTGGATAGGGAGGCAGTATCAGAGGGAGAAAGCCAGGTTTCAGTCAGTGCCAACAGGTTTTAGTAGCAGGAAGTGATGAGATCATAAATGGCAGTAGATTTCATGTTGTTTCAGACTGAGCATGGATTCCAAAAGGTACAGCGAAAGGAATGGGATGTAGTGGAGTTACCGGATATATGTAATAGATTCTTGGTTGTCCTGGTGGAAGCAGGGGGTCATATTTCCATTCTTATTTATATGCCCTTGTAAAGAATTAGGTCAAGTAGATGATTGTTGCTGTACCTCTGAGATGGTGTTTTTTCCATAATATGAGCTTTCTACACTACCTGTTTGAATACATCCAAGATTTAAATGACTGCACAAGCACCTTAAATTCCCATTAACAATATGCATGCTAAAAAGGGATTCCTGTTTGATGAATTGTGCATATCACTGGAATTGTAACTCATAAGGCCGGAGGAGTCTGCTTTTCACTAAACTCAGAGAATCAAATGGCAAAAATGAGGCTAAAATAGCCTATCTATTACGGATTAGACTATTTTTTTTCTAATAGCATATAGAATGACCTAATTAATTAATTCTAAAAAAAAAATAGTATTTTAAAATTATAGAATCTTCATGAAATACAGATTATGACTGTGTTGGAATTTCATTGAAATTTTCTGATTGACTGTGTCTATGGAGGATCGCACAGTCTTGTGGGATCCTCCATTTACCTCAGTGTGGTACTCTTGCACATTCGCGAGTGTATTTTTATTATTATTATATATATTACAATATTATAAAGTGGGGAAGATTTAACTTTAAATAGGACAATTACAAAAAAACTTACAGGAACGATAGGTTGAAGAGGACCCTGCTCAAACGAGCTTACAGTCTATAGGAGGTGGTGTATAAAACACATTAGGACAAGAAATTGCAATCAAATAAAGTGGAAGTGAAGTAGAGCTGGAGAAGAGAGTAGACTGCTGCCCTTAAGGAGAGAGCAAGAGACAGGTATGTAAGGTAGATGTTACTCTGGGAGGCCATAAGCTTTCATAAACAGATGGGTCTTAAGGCACTTCTTAAAAGATGCAAGACTAGGGGAGAGTCTGAAGGCAGTAGCCAGGCTGTTTCATAGGAAGGGAGCTGCCCACGAGTTGCCTGCCTGAGTTGGCCATACGGGTGCGAGCAACGGACAGGAGAAGGTCACGCGCAGAGCGGAGAGACCGAGGGGCATACCTATGGATCTGTGTAGAGATATAAGAGGGGCTAGAATTGTTCAGTTCTTTATAGGTATGGGTTAGCACTTTCAATTGACTTCTATAGAATACAGGAAGCCAATGTAAGGACTGCCAGAGGGATGAGGTGTGAGTGAACCGACTTGAGAGGAAAATCAGTCTGGCGGAAGGATTCATTACAGACTGTAGCGAGCAATATGGCTTTTGGGAAGACCAATTAGGAGAGGGTTACAATAATCCATGCGGGAAATTACTAGAGCATGGACAAGCTCCTTGGTAGCATCTTGCGTGAGAAGTGGGCGGATGCGGGCTATGTTTTTAAGATGTGTACAGCAGTGATGTGAGCTCCTGGCACATCAAATAGAAGCAGCGCAAGAAAGATGAAAGAAAACCAACAAATAACCTTAATGCTTGTATGTATATAACAGGACTTTACAATTCCTAGGTCACCATGGCGACTAGCACATTTGTCCGGGACCGGCTGACCCAGAGAGAATGTAGACAGGCACAAGAGGGAGCAGTAATCTTCCTGCAGTTCTTGCTCCCTCACGTATCCTGCAGTGATTCCGCATGTCAGAATAGGATGTCACTCCGGCCATGAGAGGCAAGACGAGTTTAAAGAATTCAGTAGCCACACTGCACCTCAGGGAAAGGATCCACTACAGATCTCCCAAAGTTAGGGTGGTTGGATGACTTGAATAAAAGTAAAAAACATAATTTGTGAGTGTATGAGAAAATGTGTGTGTGTGTGTGTGTGTGTGTCAAATCAGTGTGTCTGTTTAGGTGACCGGTCCCTCCCTCTGATTGCATGGGGAAGGTATTTACAAACCTTTTTTTTTTACTTTTCATGTTCAGGCACATCTTCTGTTATTTATGACACCCCACTCATCCCCTCCCCTTCTCTAAAAATATCAGTTGTTTTTTTTATCATATTGATGAGTATTGTTTCAAAACCTGAGGAAGAGACGAAAACTGTCGATAGCTTGTCTTTTAAGTATTATATTAGTACACACACACAGTCTGTCCAGCAACATTTCAACCATTGGAATAATCTAGTGGTTCTGAAGTCTATATACTGTCTCTACATGTTTTTCAATGTAAACACTGACCTTTCAGACTAAAGGCAGGGTTTACATTGCTGTCTGGTCTGGTAACTCCTCTAGTGACAGTCACTCAGAGAGCCTCTAGAAGTGCTTCCTGTGTTAATGCTCCCCATAGGGATGCACTGACAAATCAGTTCATACATAAGCAAATCCGCCTAATCTGAACATGCCACAAACCCCGTCACCCTCAGGCACGTCCCCCCGTGTGCACAATCTTAAAGAAGGGGGGTGGGAGGTTGTAACGAACTAGGCTCACACCTTGCGGGTAGAATTCTTCCCTACCTTAGGACCCAAGTATGTTTAATTAAAAAAACATATAGTTTTGAATTTTATACATAACCTAAATACAGAAACCACCAATTACTCTATACCCAAATCCAACAATATTTAGGCCTCCAAGCAACGAGGATAACCGAAACCACCTAAGGATCTTCCAGCATTTACAACGTTACTAGCCTCAAGGTAAGTAGTTCCCAGCACGCTCAAATCATACACACCACCGGTCAGGCCACACATCGGTTAGACCAATGCGCCATAAGCCATCACAGTGGGGCCAGTTAAATACCCACGAGTAGGTCCACCCAGCGCACTAATCGGAGGCAACGGCTTCCGCACAAAACCGCACGTCACAACCATAGCTATGTTTCATGCCAATCCACTTATCCATCATACCAAGGTGGATACCGATCCTCCCACATCCGTCACGAGAGAAACCACGAATATATCACATCACCAACGGACATCTCCTCACATTGCACCCCTGCCAGAGCCTCCAGCCCGGCCAGACCAAGCACTCCGGCCGAGAACATAGAGACAGTCAGCCCGGGATCTGTACGTTCTTAGGAGAAGGGGCATCCTATACCCGGCACGCAAAGCAGAGCTTTACCGGTTATTAAATGCGAACCCGGAGACCAGGGACTAGCACACTACGGGAATACGTCAGGAATCCAGGCCACCATGTCAGCACTATTGTCGTCTGTTAATCTGATTAACAACAGATTGGCGAAACTAGAAAACAAAGTGGCAATTATCACCCCGACAGCCATCCCGGCCACATGTCCTCCAATTACGCCGACCCTGGGTAATAGCACTAACCCTATCCCGACACCAACCGCTTTACACATCATCACGCCCGCCCACTTAGTTCCACAAAACATCAAAAAACACATACTAGAAGGGAAAGATGTAAACTTAGTTTCCCTTCTGATCGCAACACAAGACATGGTCGAGATTAAGGCTTACAGCTATGGGGACATCTCAGTAGTTCTTAAGGCCAGGGACCCCAGGCTCAATAAGAAATTATAGCTTTTGCTCTGTACAGGGACGTAATATGCTCCACGTCTCCCCAATGCAGGGAGGAGCTCGACCTATAACTCCTGAAATTGGTGGACCTTCGTAACAAGTACGGAGGCTACTCTTTCTATGACTATCATAGATCATTCTTGGCGAAGGTGACGGCAGCTTTGATCCAATTTAAAATACGCTCTGACTGGAGCCAAATAGAAACTGAGCTATTCTACTGCCACTTTGCCGGCCTCAAGCCTTCGTCTTGTGCCATATGCGCGTCTACCGCACACGCCACAAATCTATGCC